GCTCCCGCAGTGTATGTTGGTGCGCGCTATTCTTGGCACCCACTCCGTGCACCCTCACTGGCGTAGCCTGGGATGGAGCCAACCGGTGAAAATTGTTTGAGCCTCCGAAGCTCCGCCCCCCCGCTGCCCAGTGCGCTGTTGCGTGCGATGGTGGGCCTCGGTCTTGTTTGGGACTGGCCGCCGATGGCGGCGTTGCTGCTCATGGGTTTCACAATGCTCCTCCGCCCTGGGGAGCTCCTGGGGGCGTGTCGCTGTGACCCCTCGCTGCCGAGCGATCGTCTGGAACCCAGCGGCGATGCCTTCCTCCCCATGCTGGCGCCGAATACCCGTCGCGCCTATCCGGTTCAGCGCGCTCGCTGTTCGGACAGGTCGACGGTGAACTCGAAGGAATTGGTGGTTCAGCATTTGCGCCCCGCGGATCCGCCCACGTCCTTCGGACAAATGGTTCCCGTGCTCAGTGGAACCAGTTGAACCATTTGCCTCCGGCCCTGGGCGTCCCGTTTGCGATAGCGGCCTCGGGTTTGAACCTTGCGCCTAGTTGCAGCGCTCTGGGGCATAAAACTCTTACATGGCCTCGGCAGACGTTCCTCGCGTCTTCTGACGTGGGCGGTGGCACCGAGCCCTCAGCGCTGAACGCTTTCTGCAGGCTGCCGCCGCTTCGCCAGTTCTTTTTGCCCTCCCTGCGCTTGTGCGAACGCGTCTTGCATTCCTTGTACACCACTATTGGCGACCGCTTTGTCGCTTCCTTTCCTTTCGTTGCCCTTTTGCGTGATGAACCCAACTTGCGGCCGCCCGCCGAAACCTTCTCAGTGTGCAAGGGCTTTGAGTATGGGCAAGGTTGCTTCGCCGATGTTGTCGATGACCTGTTGGTTTTGTCCACCTGGGCGGCGCCGCGCGGCCCGCGCGCTTCAGGCGGGCCTGCCCATGCCTGGGCCTCTCAGCGCGCGCGCCGCGGCGGTCGCGCGGAGACAGTTGGTTGGCGCCGATGCGGGAGAATGACCTCTCCTATTCTCCCCATCTTTGGCGCCCAGGTTGTCTATGCAGTTTCTCGGTCCCCCGCCCCCCCTTCCCTCCTCCACCAGGGCTGACCTTCGGCGCTGCCTTGCCGACGTCGTCGGCGACCTGGTGCTTCTCTCCGCCTGAGAGGCACCGCGCGGCCCGCGCTCATCAGGCGGGCCTGCCGCCTTCCGGGCGCTCCGACGCGCGCGCGCGCCGCGGCGGCCTCTCGGAGACAGCTTGCTTGCGCCGATGCGGGGTGATACGTCGCCACACTTCGGCACACCCCTCGCAAGCTTCGTGGCCCCACAGGGAGCTCAACCGAAGGCGCCAGCGGTTTGGTTCACATGGTGGCCCGCTTCATGTCGGCACAGCCCTCACACGTTTCGTGGCGCCGCAAAGAGCGCCGCCGACGGCGCTGGTGGCTGCGTGCGCATGGTTACCCGTCCCAGTTCGGCACGCCTCTCTCGCGCCTCGTGGCCTGTCAGGTGGCTCCACAAAAGGGCCGCCGTGGCTGGGTTTACATGGTGTCCCGCTCAATGTCGGCACGGCGCTCGCATGTTTCGTGGGCCCACGGGGCGCGCCGAAGGCGCTAGTGCTTGGGTTCTCATGGCGGTCCGCTCCAGTTCGGCACGGCCGTGGCACGTTTGCGGGCCCCATCGGGAACTCCGCCGAATGCGCAAGTGCAGGGGTTCACATCGTGACCCGGCGCATGTCGGCACATAACTTTTCACGTTTCGTGGATGGCGCCGGTGGCTGGGGTCACTTTGTGAGTCGCCTGATTTCGGCAGACCATTTCACACCTTTGGTGGTTTCATCGGAACTCCACCGAAGGCGCCCGCGGCTGGGTTCAGGGTGTCCGGCTCCATGTCGGCACACCACCTAAGCGTTTCGTGGCCCCACGGAACTGCACCGAAAGCGCCAATGGCTGGGTTCACATGGTGCCCCGCCGAATTTCGGCACCCCCCCGACCGAGGGCCGCAGTGGCTGCGGTCACATGCGGCCCCGCCCCACTTTGGCACATTTTCACACGTGTCGTGGCCTCATAGGGAGGTGCACCGAAAGCACCCCAATTGCTGAGTCCGCGTGGTGTCGCTTCGCCAATGTCGTTTTGCTTCTTTCAGTTGAGTGCGGATGTGCTTTCTTTGTCGAAGCATTCAGGTGTGGTTCAAATCCTCAGTATATTCATGCGCATTGAGCGGTGTTGCACATAGGCGCCGTTCGTTCACAGAGTTTTGGTTTCTCCGCCAGGGTAACTGTATGCCGACGTAGTTTCGGTGTATGCGTCGTAGCCTGAAGTAGGTAAACACAATGTGTTGCTTTACGTTTGTATCCGGCTAGCTTTTCTCAATCAAACCTGGTTGAGGCTTCGTATTATTACCAGCTGCCCGTGGCGAGCCCCGCCACCGTGTCTTTTACAACAACGCAGTACTACGTACACGCATTGAATGTAGGAGCGACGCAGTTCTGAGTTTGGTATGAAAGTTTATGGGTTGTGCAGTTAAGTTCGTTTATGTCCGCGCGGCAGGGGGAGGTCGAGTTCACGCCCCGTTGCAATTCACCGAACAGTCTGAATTGAGATGGGTCGCGAACTCGACCCTATCTTCGTCCGCGCGGTAGGAAAAATGAGGGGGACATGAGGAGGAGGAGGAGGAGGAGGACGAGGAGGAGGCGGATGAAGCGGAGGAAACGGAGGCGGAAGCGGAGGCGGAGGCGGAGGAGGAAGAGTTGGAGGAGGAGGAGGATGAGGAGGCGGAGGAGGAGGACGAGGAGGAGGAGGAGGCGGATGAGGAGGAGGAGGAGGAAGAGGAGGAGGAGGAGGAGGAGGAGGAGGAGATGGGGGAGATGGAGGAGGAAGAGGAGGAGGAGGAGGAGGAGGAGGAGGAGGAATGGGCGGAATGGGCGGGATGAGCACGCAAGTGCAATCAATCAGAAGAGGGGGAGGCGGGGGGGGAGGGGGCCCGTCCCAGGGCCATCCTGGGTGTCGTACTCGCGGCCGTCGTGGTGCAAGGTCGGGGCGGCGCGCAAGACCGCCCGCTCTCCCGACAGCGCACCCCGCGACGACGACGACGACGACGACGACGACGACGGGACACCTCCCTCCACCTTGCTCATTCCTTCCCTCATGCTCCCACCTCCCACAGGTGGGGTAAAAAGGGCATCATCAAATTCAGGATAACACTTGAATTCACTACCACAATCAACATCAGCAGTACCATCAAACACGGGCTCAGGGAGCACAGAGAAACGGAGATACTCATCCAACTCTACCCGAGCAGGCGCTCCATCGGTGGCTGCAGGGGCACGAGATGCAAGCACGGACGCCTCCGCCGCTGCGACCGCCTTCGGCGGTCCACGATATGAGGGGAAACCACCCCGACGGAGGCGGTACAGGTTTTCGCGCCCCTTCCTGGTGGGCGGTTCGCACGGACGGGCCAACTGGCGGCCATCTACCGTGGCCGTGAGCCCACACGCAGCACAACACTTCAAACCATACTGAGCCCATTCATGCAACGAGTGGTTCTCGTGGAGCCTAACGCCTCCAACCTCGCACGCCCCCAGCACGGGAGATATTCCGTCACCAGTGAACCGCACAAAAGACGCAGGGACGGAGGGTTCGGGCTCCTGGGCCGAGGCAGGGCAGACAAACGAGGCAAAGGCAAACAGCCTCGCCCGAGGCACACTCTGCTGGCACTTGGAGCACATCCACCGATTGCTGCAACGGGAGATGGAATGCGACGAGGAGGCTATCACCATACCAAGCCGAGATCTACGCTTAGTCCTAGGCAGGAGGAGGATGAGGAGGAGGAGGGGGAGGATGAGGAGAAGGAGGACGAAGAGGAGGAAGAGGAGGAGGAGGAGGAGGAGGAGGAGGAGGAGGAGGAGGAGGAGGTGGAGGAGGAGGAGGAGGAGGAGGAGGAGGAGGATGGGGAAGGGACAACAACACAAACAAGGAGGAACAGGCCTCCTAAAAGGCTGTCATTGGGCCTCCTGGGTGCCTCCTGATCGGCCTCTTGGAACCTCTTGGGTGCCTCTTGGGGGCCTCGTGGGGCTTCTTGGGGTCTCATGGGGGCTCCTGTCGCCCTCTGGGCCGTCTTGGTGCCCTGTTTGAGTGTTTTTGTGCCGTCTTGGTTCCCCCTTCGTGAGGCCGTCGAGGCAGACTTGGGGCCCTCTTTGGAGGCCTCATGGGCCGACTTGGGGCTATCTTGGAGGCCTCTTGGGCCGTCTCGGGCGGTCTGACATCCAAACAGGTGGTAATTCTCAAAATCTTTGAACCCCGACGGGCAATTCATGTCTTTCGCCTCGGGTTCTCCTGGAGGGCCTCATGGAGCCCTCTGGGGTCGTCCTGGTGGCCTTTGGAGCGGTCTTGAAGCAGTTCGGGAGCCTCTTATCTCGTCTTGGGCCATCTTGGGCTGTCTCGGTGTCATCTTGGCTGTTTTGGGCGCCGTCTCGGAGGCCATCTTGGCCGTCTGGAGGCCGAACAGGCAGCCCGGCAGATAATTCAATGAGGGGCGGTGTTTGAGGGGGGCTTGCAGTGAGGGGGGGCGGCCGTGGAACACGTTAAAGACCAAGCAGACAACATATAACATTTTACAACCGAGAAACATTCAAACACGCCCACTTCGTATAGGCACGGTGACCGATTTGCTTGACATGCGCACGGACTCCTGAATCCGACCAGCTGAAGTTCGCATCCATACACCTGGCTATCTTTCGATTGGCGTTACCTCAGAACCCAGCGTATTGTAAGGTAGCATCGCGCAGCTTAGCGCTACGCGTCAGTGCGTGGAGGGTGCTCTCAGCCAAATTCTGCCATACCATATGTACGCTCAATTGGGGTCGCCTTGGGTAAATTTGTATTTGCTCGCCATTATCCACTGACCACCGATTGCCAGTGACGTAATTTCGCGCGGCACCGTGAGCATTGCCAATGTGGCTCAAAGGACTCACGCTGATTCCAGCCTTCACAGACGACTCGCTGTCGAGTGCACAGGAAGTGGCAGATGGCCAGAAAGCGGCTTCCAGGAGTCCTGCACGGTAGGTCCTCGACCTCGCGGCAGCGTTTGTTAAGTTTTTGGTTTGTCACGGGTGTGGTTGCAGTTGCTGGCAGTTTGGCCTATCATTGTCCAGGTGTCACGCTGAGATTCGTAGCTCCAGCGCCGAGGCCAGGTCCGCCGAAGGCAAGATCGATGCGCATGTCGGCCAGCACCGACGCCAAGGCAACCACGGCCATTCCTGGGCCCCTGCCGCTGACGGTCGGAGTTGGCACCTGCTTGGTGCCCGAGGACTCTCTTTTGCCAGACTTCTTGTCTCCACTTGCCAGCGTGCTTGGCAGAAACGTCTGCACTGTCCGCGAGCAGGTCGGGTGGGCATTGTCCTTGGGATATCGGCTTGTCGACACCGCGTACAGATATGGTAACGAGGGGGGCGTTGGCCGGGCGCTCTCCGAGAGCTTCGCCGCGGGGGCTACCCGGCGGGAGGATGTGTTCGTGACCACTAAGGTGTCCACAGATGCGGAAAGCTACGCTGATGCCCTGGAGTCAGTCGATTATTCTTTGGGTAAGCTCGGCCTTGAGTATATCGACTTGATGCTCATTCATTGGCCTTGTTTCTCCAACACTCGCGATCCAAGTGTCTGTCGGCAGAGGCGTTCCGAGATTTGGCGAGGTCTCGAGCGTGCACAGGATGAGGGCAAGGTCCAGCACATCGGAGTTGCCAATTTTGGCGAGAAGCATCTACGGGAGTTGCTGGAGTACGCGCGCGTACGCCCCGCGGTGGACCAGATTGAGGTGCACCCCTTCAACGCTCGTGCTCGGCTCGTAGACTTCTGCAGGGCAGAGGGGATCCAGGTCATGGGCTATTCGCCCCTTGGTGGTCGCAATGCCGGAGGCCCGGGCACTGGTCTGACCGACCAGCTGCTGGGCGACCCCGTCATCGGCGGCGTGGCCGCGCGGCTTCGGAGGACGAGCGCACAGGTGATCCTGCGCTGGGCGCTGCAGCGAGGCATCACTCCCATCCCGAAGGCCTCCAGCGAGGCGCGTCTCGCCGAGAACTTCGACGTGCTCGATTTCGAGCTCGGGGAGGAAGACATGGCTCGCATCGGCTCTCTGGACAGGGGGGAGTTTGTGCTGTATGACGCTGACGTCATGCCTTGACAGGTGGTCTCCGCTGTGGTGAGCTGAGGGCCCAGCAGTGCAGTCAAAATCCATGCGCGGGCGTCCTGTTGGCCTTCGGTCATCGCGCATCGATCATTCGATCGATCCATGGCTCTCTCCAGCAAGGACATGCTGAGGGTAGGAAGATTATGAGGAGGATAGCCAGAGGATGAAGAAGAGGAGGACGAGGATGTTGATGAGGACGTTGCGACGACAACATCGATGACGAGGACGAGGACGCTGTCGACGACGATGATGATTCAGATGATTCAGATGATTCGGATGATGATGATGATGATGATGATGATGATGATGGTGGTGGTGGTGATGATGATGACTGTGAGTGGTGAGTATGAGGATGATGCTAATACTGATGCTGATGATGACCATGATGATGAAGACGATGATGATGATGATGATGATGATGATGATGATGATGATGATGATGATGATGGTGATGCTGATGGATGTGAATATATGTTTCATGATGATGATGACGATATGACGATGACGCTGCTGATGATGGGGATGACGATGCTAATGATGATGATGCTGAGGACGATTACGATGACGGTGACGATGGTGACACTGATTGCGATGGTGATGGTGTGACGACGTTGATGATGCTGAGTATTACTTGACAAGGAGGAGGAGGAGGGGGAGGAGGAGGAGGAGGAGGAGGAGGAGGAGGAGGAGGAGGGGGATGATGGTGCTGCTGCAGATGCCGCCGCTGATGTTGAGGATGAGAAACTTTGGGATGCGGATGAGTTTCAGGCTGCTGCTGATTAGGATGATGAGCATGCTGGTGAGAATGAAGAAGAAGAGGATGATGATGACGGTGGTGATGATGATGCTGATGCTGGTGATGCTGCAACTGCTGATGATGGTGGCGGTTCTGATGCTGGTGATGATGATGATGATGATGATGATGATGATGATGATGATGAGGATGTGAAGGATCAGGATGATGAGGATGAGTATGAGGAAAATGACGATGACGATGAGGGTACTGATGTTGATGACGATGAGGATGCTGATGACGATGATGATGATGACGACGACGGTGACGACGATGATGATGACGACGATTATGATTATGATGGTGATGCTGCTTATGATGAGGATGAGTATCATTCTTATTGGGGTGAGCATGAGGATGAGGATGATGACGGTGCTGAACATGCTGATAATGCCGCTGATGATGATGACGAATATGATCATGTTGTTCATGCTGATCATGTTGAGGATGATGATGATGCCGATGCTGCTGATGATGATGATGGTGATGATGACGATGCTGATGCTGACGACGATGATGATGATGATGATGATGATGATGATGATAGTGATGATGATGATGATGCTGATGATGATGCTGCTGATGATGATGATGATGATGATACTGCCGACGATGATGCTGCTGCTGATGACGATGATGCTGATGCTGATGCTGAGGACGATTATGTTGCTGCTGCTGATGCTGATGACGATGATGGTGATGATGATGCGGCGGATGAGCTTGAGTTTGCTGCTGCTGTTGCAGATGATGATGGTGATGGTGTTGCTGTTTCTGATGATGATGCTGCTGATGATGATGCCAAGGCGGAAGAGGAGGGGGAGGATGACGATGCTGATGATGATGATGATGGTGGTGGTGGTGGTGGTGATAATGATGCTGCTGCTTATGATGATGCTGTTGCTGCTGCTGATGATGATGCTGATGATGATGATGAGGATGAGGATGAGGATGACGATACTGATTTCTCTGGCTGTTGGTGATGGTAAGGGTGATGACGTCGACGACGATTCTGATGGTTGTGATGTTCAATATGTTTAAGGTGATGCTGGCGCTGCTGCTGCTGATTATGATGCTGATGATGCTGATGATGCTGCTGCTGATGATGATGCTGATAACGATGATCATTCTGCTGATGATGATGCTGATGATGATGATCATGATGACGATGAGGATGATGATGATGATGATGATGATGATGATGATGATGATGATGACGATGATGATGATGATGATGATGATGATGATGAATAATGGTGATGCTGATTATGCTGATGATGATGTCGATGATGATGATGATGATGATGAGGATGATGGTGATGATGATGCTGATGATGATGACGATGATGATGATGATGATGATGATGATTGATGATGATGATGATGATGATGATGATGATGATGATGATGATGCTGATGCTGATGATGATGATGATGATGATGATGATGATGATGATGATGATGTTTATGATAGGGAGGAGGAGGAGGATGAGGAGGAGGATGAGGAGGAGGCATCTGAGGCAGATGAGGAGGATGACGAGCATGGGGCGGACATGGAGGTTGTCAGCGACTCACACGTATATGCATTAATATCCCTTTCTCTCGATCTTGCTTCTCTGCACCCTTCGGATCATCAATAAGTATTTGAATCCTAATGCTGCAATAGCAAGCTTGCGGTTTCAAGCAGGACTCGCGTGGGCGGCACCACGCGCGGCAGTCTATTATTGCAAGTGCCCAGAGATCCGACGCCCCAGAAATTTTGGGTGGCAAGTTTTTGGCCGTTTTCAGCCTCCAGGGTCCTTTGCAGGGCCTTTAGACCGTCAAGAACGACTCAGGACGAAAAACCAGTCCCGGGGAGGTGGTCCAGACCTCCAGGGCACCTGCATCGAAAAAACTGGGGCAGCCAGATGTTTGGGTATGTTTGTTGCACCCGCAGTTGCGGATGAGAGTGAGGGTCTGGGCGCGGGTTCGGTCGCGGGCTCGGGGGTCGCGGAGTGTATATCGGGGTGGATCGTGGTTCTGGGTCGTGGGTTGGTCGCAGGGGGTGTCGCGGGGGGGACGACGACACCAACAACAACAAGTACACAACAACAAACAATCAGCATAAAGCAACAGGCAGAGTCCTGGCCACGGAGTCCCACTTCACCCACGCACGCAGGGACGTTGTGAGCCCGTTCGGCCCCTCATCCCGGTAATGATCTAGAGAACTTTGCGAAACTTCGCCTGACCTCGGGGGCGGAAAAGAGGGGGGTGATGACTAGGGGTGTGTGGATATCATGGCGGGGGCCATGATATTTCCCCAGATTTCATGGCGCTTCTCCTTGTTTCATTACGTCCCTGGCCCCCCCGCTGGGCCGCGCACATGCCGCCGGTCAAGATTTGCACCCCCCCTCTTGGACACCCCCCTCTTGGCCGCTCCCAAACTTAGCGCGGCCACGGGCGGCAACGTGGCGAATCCTCGCCGGACCCACCCAGCGCACGAGGCGGTCACGAGGCGGGCATCGGCGGCAGCGTGGAAGGTCCTCGCTGGACCTATCCTATTCCTTAGGGGCTGAAGTAAGACTACCTAAATGCACGCACTGTTCGGGGAAGAAATGCACGAACATAAACGTTCGGAGGTCCCCACGGATTTCCTTGGATCTGTGTTGGCCCCCCTTCTTCCACCTCCTCCAGACGAGAAAGCGGCAGTTGGCACGAGAGTTAAGAACATCGCTAGTTCTGAAGGGATCTTAGTTAATCATGGGTTCGTCGTTAGCCGTCCATGGGGGCCTCTTGGGGCTTTTCTAGTGGGTCCGGAGGCCGCGCGGTGGCGACGCACGAGGCCCGCTGGGCCGCAATGGGCGTCCATCCTAGTGAGTGCGCGCGAGGCCGAGCATCAAGCAGCAGTTGATAGTTGCCAACGGTTCGGGGTGCGTTTCTCTGCTCCAGTGTTTCTGGCGATCTGATTTGTTCTTTCTGGGCGTTTTTCTTGTGGAGAAGGAGGAGGAGGAGACGGAAGAGGCGGAGGCTGAGGAGGAGGAGGAGGAGGAGGAGGAAGAGGAGGAGGAGGCGGAGGAGGAGGAGGAGGAGGAGGGAGGAGGAGGAGGAGGAGGAGGAGGAGGAGGAGGAGGAGGAGGAGGAGGAGGAGGAGGAGGAGGATGAGGAGGAGGAGGAGGAGGAGGAGGAGAGAGGAGGAGGCAAAGGAGGAGGAGGAGGAGGAGGAGGAGGAGGAGGAGGAGCTGGACTCTCAAGAATGGATGGGGGACGAAGACCTCCCCCGAGGGAAGGGGTCGAGACCTCTGGGGCCGCGCATTGACAGGAACACATCGTCGGATGTCTGGGCTCGCCTCCCGACGTCTCCATGCCTGTGCGCGGGGCCTCCGAGAGGCGCCGGAGCGGCCCAAAGCATTCCGAATTGCGCCATGGCAGGGCAAGCCGCGGGGCACGCCCCCTACATGCAGGGCGACGTGTGTCATCGGCCCTCTTTTCTGGCTGCGCGCGCGCTTCTGCTCCCTCCTTTTTGTCCTCATATTCCTCATCTCTCCTCCTCTCCCTCTTCCTCCCTTTCTCCTCCTCCTCCTCCTCCTCCTCCTCCTCTCTCTCTCGTTTCCCCCTCAATCTCCTCCCGTCATCGAGGAGGGCGTCCGCGCGGCTGCTGAGGCGCGGCGCCCCAAGGTTACAGGCGGCCAGCGCGCGTGGAGGAACGTGGCGGAGCACGTCTTCACGGATGCCGCTGGCGTGCCGCGCGAGGTCGCGTCCCTGGCCAAGGACGAGGCGGGCGGCAAGCGGCTCCAGCGGGGGCGGCGCCGCCCTCGGAAGTGCGTCGACGTGGCGTCCGACGTGACGACCTCGGAAGCGTGCCAGGAGTCGGGCGACGGCACCAGCGCGGAAGTGCAGGAGGTCTTCTCGGCCCCGAGCGTAGATGACGTGATGATCCTGGAGAACACTCGGATCCAACAGGGGGCCACCAACAACGACTACGACTCCAAGAAGATGGAGGAGCTGATGAAGAAGGACCTGAAGGCGGAGTTCGAGACACCCTCGAAGCTCTTGAAGGAGGTGCTGGGCGACAAGGCGGAAAAGGTTGCGGTCTTCTCGCGCATGGCGGACTCTTCCTGCGAGCTCAAGCCTACTGAGTACGACTGGTCCGTCAACATGGAGCGCATAACGAAGGCGCATACCCTGAAGGAACCCATGACCAACTACGCCGTGTCGAAGATCAATA